TGGGGCCGCTTCCCCTTTCTCCCCAGCCAATATTTCAATGCTGGGCTATTCAGTCCAGCAGGTTAGGAGGTTTTAGCAATTAATCTGCTTGTCTGTATTTACAGCCTGCTCAAGATGGCTTAAAAAATTGCTCTTGACCAACCTTATGTCACCGTAAATTTTGCTGAGAGGAAGGCATAAGATGTATTCTAGTAAAAGCTGTACCAGAACAAAAGCTGAGTTCATTCCAATTTATATATATATATGTTTATTTGTAAGATTTTAACAAAGACAATCTTCAGGGTCACTAAGTGTCCTGGTTTCAGCTGGGATAGAGTTAATTTTCTGTTTAGTAGCCGGTACAGTGTGTTTCGGATTTAGTGTGAGAATAATGTTGATAATACACCGATGTTTTAGTTGTTGCTGAGTAGCACTTATCCTAAATTAAGGATTTTTCCATTTCCCATGCTCTGCTAGCAAGCAGGTGCACAAGAAGCTGGGAGGGAGCACAGCCAGGACAGCTGACCCCAACCAGCCAAAGGGATATTCCATACCATAGAGCGTCATGGCCAGTATAGAAACTGGGGGGAGTTGGCTGGGAGGGATCAATCACTGCTCTGAGATAGCTGCGTGAGCATCAGTCAGCAGGTGCTGAGCAATCATCTTGTGCATCATTTGTCTTTTCTTGGGTTTTACCCTTTTGTTACATTCTTTTTCATTACTATTATAATTATTATTGTATTTTTTTAGTATCGTTATTATCGTTAGCATTATATTTACTAACTTCAATGGAACTGGAGCTTCAAACTCACCTTCTGCTTCATATTCTGCTGCCTTCTCCTTCATGTCCTCTATCAGCAAAGAAACATCTCTGTCTTTGGCTTCATTGCATTCTACAAGCTCATACAAGATATCAACTGTCCTTGCATTCACTTCGTACTGTGGAACAGGCTGATCCCCATGTATTTTCCTTAGCCATAAAGTAACCTGCCAGAGAAGGAAGAAAAAAAAAAAGAAGACTAAACAGCCAAGTGAAATGACAGAAAATAGCTGATAGACATGAGAAATGTAAAGTGCTGCAAGCTCTGCATTCCTACTACATTAGTCGAAGCATGGGTGGAAAAAGGGGAGACAACTTCTTTTGTCTCTTCTTCAAACACCCTCTGCAGAAAACCATTTCCCTTTTAATCTCCTTCATTTCTCTGAACATCTGCTTATCTCCAGGTGATAAAATTTTATCTTTTTATTCACATGACCCATTTGCCTCAGGCACACTAATAATCCAAGAGATGTTAAATGGGTATTTGGGCAGCTGGTAAAAACTGCATTAAAGCAGCGTGGGATAAAACTGCCCAAACCATGATCATTTGGAACAGTCTCTGAAGGCTAGTGGGGGGAAAAAGAGTTACTACAATGTGCAGGCATAAGCCGTGCAAAGCACAATTTCTACCACTGAAAAGATGGTCAGAAACAGGAGAGATTTTAACACGGTGCTCTCAGGTAGCATTGAAAAATTAGGGTATGACTGGTAATAATTGAACACATGGAAGTTCAACACTGAAGAAACACAAATTCTTGTCTAAGGCTGTCTAAGCAACCTGATGGAAAAGGACCCAGCATTATAACTTTAAAAGCCATTTCTTTCTAGCATGTCCTCCTTATGGTTCTACCATACCAGCATCTCAGCTACATGCACTGCACACCGCAAACATCACGCTGAATTATTCTGAGGAGAAAACCATCAAGCCCTTAGAAGCAAGTAGCACTAATTTTGTGCAGACGAAAAACTCTAATACTGCATGAAAGCCACGTTCACGGACAAAGGATGAATTACACCTTTCTGCCACTCTCTCCCGTGAGAAAGACTTGAAACACAAAAATTTCAGGCACCCAAGATCTTCATAACCTAGCCATCTTAAACCAGCTGTGAGCTTATACTTAAAGGTCAGTGAGCTCAGGCTGTTATATAGTAGTGGGTGAACATCGACTTCATTGCTGCAAAACCCACCCAGTGACCACATCTTGCCTGTCCCCCAACGCTTAAAGGGGCAAGAAAACGTCACGGGCTCGGTTCTACTCTTTAAACTGCGCACCCCTGAGCCCCAGACAAGCAAAACGGCAACTACCAGGGCTCAGCAAAACCTTCAGCGCAACCACTCGGCTGGTTCATGTGGAAGACCTTCTCGGGATTACGGGACAAGGGCTTTGATAACGCACCGGGGCCGCTTCCGCGCCGGCGCCTCCCCGCTAGGCCCTGGGCCGGGCCGGCGGTCAGG